TGATCAGATGTGGATCTTAAAATAACTCTATCAATAAATTTAAGATCCCCAAATAGCATAAACTCAACAACATATCTTACAGGAAATTCTTTCTCCTATATATTTTATTATAAAATACTTCTTACAATCAGAAGAATTATTTGTTAAAGCTCCTCTACAGGATACGGTCTTCACTGAACACTGTGGGACTCACCCATGCTGATTCACACAGCTGCAGTTCACTAATTTTCACCGCTGTATGGTATTTGATTTTGTGAATAACACTGTAATTTATTCTGTAGCTGGACTGTGTGACTGTCTAAAGTTTCAAAAAACCTGCTCAAACATTCTGGTACAAATCTCCTGGTGCACAAGTGCAAGTTTCACAAATGAGTTACAGATGCACCCGAGGTACCGCTCTCATCTGACAAGAGCGGCTCAACAGGACTGGGGTCATCAGACCGCCCCCCCAGCTACCTCTGACTTCAAGTAGCCTCATCTGTACTATGTAATAAGTCCTTGGCAACATTACCAGAGAAAGTATGTGCCACAGCAGCATTATCGGGGAAAGCCTGAGAGGCAGTGCTCTAGAGATATCCCCCAGAGCACAGCTGCTGTTGGAGAGGTATCTCCAACTTCAACTCCTACTTAAGGCCAATGCGTGTTTTCTTTTTTTTTTAATTTTGAAAAAGATTTTATTTATTTGACAGAGAGAGAGCAAGCATGAGTAGGGGGAGTGGCAGGCAGAGGGAGAGGGAGAAGCAGGCTCCCCGCGGAGCAGGGAGCCCAACGCGGGGCTCGATCCCAGGACCCTGGGATCATGACCCGAGCCGAAGGCAGACGCTTCACCGAGCCAGCCAGGTGCCCCAAAAACTATTAATATTTTTGACTGGTGCTTTTAATGCCTTCCTTTAAGAAATCTTTCTCTACTCTGAGGTCTTAAAGGTCTTCTACTGTTTCCCAAAAGATGTAATTTCCCTTTCACATTCAACTCTGATGGAGCCAAAATGTGAATCAAGTTCTTCATCTACTCTTATTCAACATTCAACCAGTGTACAAAGACATGATGAAGAGATGGAAGTTGTACACGTTGGGAGGGAAAAAATTAAAACCTACCATCTACACAAAAGAATTCCCACACCCAAATACAAATTATTAGAAAAGAGGATTTAGGGGCTCCTGGGTGGCTCAGTTGGTTAAGTGTCTGCCTTAAGCTCAGGTCATGATCCTGGGGTCCTGGGATCGAGCTCCAAGTCGGGCTCCCTACTCAGCTGGGAGCCTGCTTCTCCCTCTCCCTCTGCCCCTCCCCTCTTCCAATGCTCTCTCCCCCTCTCTCTCAAGTAGATAAATAAAATCTTAAAAAAAGAAAGAAAAGAAAGAAAAGAGTATTTAGTAAGATGGTTGAATATGGGATCAATGCACTGCAAGTCAAATACTGCAGGTTTTGGTAGGTATCAGGACAAAGAAGTTACCCTCTACAAAAACCTGCTAAATCATTTTACTCTAAATAGATGCTTAATGTTATTAAATTTCTACATTTGATTATATTATGTTGTACAACTGGTCCACTGTATTTTCTGCGTCTGACGATCATATATTTTTCTCCTTTAATATGGTAATGCGGTCAATTGCATTTAAAAAACCTCTAAGGTTGGGGTGCCTGGGTGGCTCAGTCAGTTAAGTGTTCGACTCTTGATTTGGGCTCAGGTCATGATCTCAGGGTCATGAGACTGAGCCCTAAGTCAGGCTCTATGCTGGGTATGGAGCCTAAGATTCTCTCTGCTCCCCCCCTCCCCCCACTTTCTCTCTCTCTTAAAAAAAAAAAATCTCTAATGTCAACTTTTCAATCCTGAAGTATTTTGTTTTTTATGCACTGCTGGGTTTGCCAACACAACCATACACTGCAGAATGCCTCCTTGGCAGAATGCCTTCTATCATCCAGCCCTCACAGGACATACACATAACAATACAAAGTTCTGGCTAATATTTATATAAGAAAACTTTATATTTAAGCTTGATACACATTTTAAAACAATGTGAAAGAAGATTCTCAAATTATATTTCAAATACAATTGTCAGCATATCACAATCACGAGACAGTATGAGGAGCACCTCCATAAAGGAGATGCAGGCCTTGCGCGTTGCTAGTGTTGAGGGGCCCCACTACTGCACATAAGCAACTGTTTATTATAAACGTTCAAGGTTTGGTAATCAGAAAACTATGCCTTGAGCACTTTATACCCTAACAGATTGCTACTCACATGTAGACATTTTGCTGGTTTTAAATATGCTTAGGCAAGTTGGTTGAGGGTTTGGGTTACATTATACCTAGATGAGCCAGATATTTACTTGTGACTTGAGAATAAAACTCATAACACAAGTTAGGTGAGAGATGACGACTTTATTTTGTTTATAATTTTTATATCTATATTCATGAATGAGACTGGACTTCGATGTCACTTTCTCATACTTCCCTTGTTGGGTTTCATTATGAGCTGGGCACAGTTTCCTCTTTTCTCATTTGCTGCAAAAGTCTATCTAACACTGAAATGGTGGATTCCCTGAAAGTCTGATAGTACTCTCCTATCTAACTCTGCAGACCTGGTGCTTTCTTAAGCAGAAAAAAAATTTTAATCGCTAACTATAATTTCTTTAGTGACCATAATACTATTTAGGATTTGAATTGCTTCTAGAATTGGTTTTGGTAAAAATTTCTACGATTTTTGCCATTTCATCTAACTTTCCAAATTTGTCAGAATTGTTCATAAACTCTTAATCTTGCTCTGTGCGGTAACTGGTTACATTCCCTTCAATTCTTAAATTTTTCAATACTTTTCCTTCTTTGAGCCATAAATATTCATAATATTTTTTATTTCCAAACATACGGAGTCTTGTTTTCCTGAACTGGCTTTCAGCTTCATTTGCAGTGAGATCAGAGAATATTCTGTATGACTTCACTTACATGAAACTTATTGAGGATTGCTTTATGCCTCAGTACCTGGTCAATTTTTATGTGTTCCAAAAATACGCTTTAAGGAAACTGTATTTTATATTTGCTGGGATGGTATTCTACATTTGTCCATCCAGTGAAGTCTGTTAATCACATTATTTAAATCTCCTATATCCATACTTATTTTACCTGTTTTTTTTTTTTTCCCTCTCAATTAAAAGGAAGGTATTAAAATTCTCCCATTTTGATTATGGATTTATCTGTTTTTTTCCTTGTAATTCTATTTGTCTTTTGTATATTGATCTTCTCCTACATTGTCTTTCCCTCATTCTTTCTAGAATGTTTATTAGATAAGTTGACCCATATGAAACTCTAACTTTACAGATCAAAATTAGACTAATATTGGTCATCTCATTTGGTTCAACCTCAAGATCTTCTAGAACTATTCTCTATTAACTCATCTTTCATATTTTCCACTTATCTCAGAGATTCCTTCTACATCACTATGTTCTTTCTTCATTTGTATATAATTGCTGTTGAAGCAATTATATACCCCTTGGGGGGTTTTTAATGTCAGTGAATTTTTAAAGTCATGTTTGATAAAATCTTATTCCTTACTCATTTTTTAATCCATATTTTATCTCTTTAAAAGTTTTAAAAGGCTTTGCATCTACCTATTTAATAGTCTGTACCCAATGGTGCAATACCTAATGTCCTTTGTAGGTCTAAATTTTACTCTTTGGTTCTGGTGCCTCTCAAACTTTTGATAATATATTCCTTTGTGTGTTTGCTAATTTTTTTTAGAGGGGTGGTAGAAAATTAATCGGTAGAAATACTGAGGGGCCCAGGTTTACACAGTTTTATCCATGTAGCATTTGTGTTTGTTTCTGCTGGGTGTCAAAGAACAAAGTCACCTGTGGTCCTTTCATTCTCGGTCGTGCAGGAAGTATAAATTTGAGCCCCACACTGAAATGAGGCCAAGGCGACAGTAATAAATCTAGAAAGGGGACTGTATTTATTCCAAGTTGTTATGAAGATAGAGAGGTTTCCGTGTTGCCTCTTTTTATAGACAGGGAGCTTTTCCTTCCTACCTTCACCTTTCACTGAGGGATGCAGCTACTTCAAAGATTCAAGAGCTCTGTGCAGAAGACTCAGATCCAGTTCCCCACAAAGTCTCCTTTCTCCATAAATCCTGGAAGCTTTTATTTTAGTATTTTACCCCAGCTTCCACAGGACTTTTTAAACCACTCTGATTTCAGTTCCCTGTTCTTTTTTTTTTTCCTTTTTTTTTTGGCCCTTTAGGATCTCCCTTAGTTTTTGTGAGCCTAATGTATTAAATAATTTTTAAAAAATCTACCCAGCATTTAAGTGTTTTATAGCTACAGAGCTTTTCAAAGTACCCGGTCTGCCTTACTACCAAAACTTTCATTCCCCCTTTTCAGTAATTTCTAAGAGAAACACTAATGTCTAACTTTCATCACATGTATTACTCTACTCTATGTAACTGTTAGAGCTTCACTAATTTAGGTAAGTGATAAAGAAAGTCAGTTTAAATTCATTAAAAGTCAGAATCACATAAGTATTTTTAGAGAGAAGTAAGTTTGATTGACATCAATAGCACAGAGTATTTGATCTTGGCTAATAAAGCTTTCAGTACATGTCCCAAATACTTTTAATTACAAGTCACTTTTATTCATTATACATTCTACACATACTGCTAAAAAATAGTTTGCTCTTCTGAGTGAACTGAGGATGACCCCTGAAACATTTACATTTATTTCTTAAGCAAATTAATGATTTTAGGCATCTCAAATTCAAAACATTATACCTAGATGAGCCAGATATTTACTTGTGACTTGAGAATAAAACTCATAAACTCTTTAATCTTAGGCTTAGTTTAGAGAAATTACAAAAATGTAATTGAGGGAGCTTCATAATCAACTACTAAATTCAACTGCAGATATCCTGTAAAATATTTTAATGTAGTCCCAAATGTAATTCCTTAAAAATTAGCCTTTAGCACTGCAAACAGATATTGTTCCCACAAGTATAAGATTAGCCAGTTCTTTACCTCTCCAGCACTTGCACATTCCTTGGCTCTTCTGTGAAGTGCAGCCCACGTATCTTCATACCTAAAAAAAGCAAAAAATAATTCAAAATGCAAACCACACATTAAAAAAAAAATACCATCTAAAACTGAACCTGGAACATCCTATGGTGCCCTAAGGAAAAAAAAAAAAAACAACTAAAAAATAATGGGGACATGTCACAAGGACATAGGAGAAACCTGAAGAGGCTTCCAATGGCCAAACCTGGGACAATCTGAGCAACAAAATAAATAATGGTAGTGATGGGTTATAACTCAAGGGCTAAAACAAACATCCACGAGTTCACAGTGATTTAAATAAACAACTTAACAAATGAATGGGGGAGAAGGGGGGAATTCTATAGAATTCCAATTAATAACTGTAGAAAAAATGATTAAAATATCACCACTTGGTAAACACGACAATAATTGTTTCAGGCAAGAATTCTAACGGATGCTAAAATTAGTGAGGGAAATTATGAAGAGAAACAACATATTTATTACATAGTTTCAAAATATCTCCTAAATTAAAAAGGGGGAAACAGTACAGCAGTGTAGAAACCAGGCAGACACTTCCCTAACCACGTGATCCACAGTAATGAAACATATAAACATCATGTGTCTATTAATGTGATGCCCTGAGGACACACCATTGCCCTCCTGGTATTCTTGCCAAAAAAACACTGTCTTTAATCATGAGGCGGGAAAAAAGGCATGTAAACCTAAATTGAGGGGCATTTTGCAAAATAATAATATAAAAATAACAAAAAGTACTCTTCAAAAGTGTCAAGGTTATAAATAACAAAGACTCAGGAACTGTTCCAGATTAACGGAGATGAAGGAGGTACGGTGACTAAATATAACCTATGATTCTAGATTGGATCCTGGTCCCAAAATAAGGACATTAATGGGATAGCTGATGAAATCTGAATGAGGTCTGTAGGTTATGGAGCAGGGTTAATTTCCTGGTTTTCATAATTGTACTCTTACACAAAATCTTCAAAATATGCAAAGCAATAATTGACAGAACTGAAGGGAGAAATAAACCGTTCTCCAATAACCGAGACTTCATACCCCACTCTCAATAATGAATGGTTAAAATGACCAGACAAAAGATAAACAAGAAAGGACCTGAACACCATAACACAATAAACCAACTAGATAGAAGAGATATATACAGAATACTCTACCCAACAACAGCAGAATACACATTCTTCTCAAGTGCACATGGGAGATTTTCCAGCATAGATCATCTGCTGGGCCACAAATTAACTCGCAGATTTTTTTAAAGGGGGTAAATGAGAAATCTCTGAACCTTTTGCTCAATTTTGCTAACCTAAGTCTGATCTAAAAAAGTCTATATATTCATATGAGATACATATTTATATATGTTATGAGATAGATATCATACGAAGTATCTTTTCTGACCACAATGGGATGAAGTTTGAAATCAACAACAAAAGGAAAACTGGAAAATTCACAAATCTGTGGAAATTAAACAAATACTTTGAAATAATCAATGGATCAAAGAAAAAAATAAGGGTAATCAGAGAATATTAAGAGATGAATGAAAATAAAACCACAACATACCAAAACTCATGGGACTCAGGAAAACAGGGCTTTGAGTGAAATTTATAACTATAAACGCCTTACATTTAAACAGAAGAAAGATCTCAAATCAACAGCCTAACTTCACAACTTAAGGAAGTAGAAAAAGAACAAACTGAACCCAAAGCTAGCAGAACGAAGAAAAAAATAAACATTAGGGCAGATCAATAAAATAGAATATAAATATATTGGGAAAATCAATGAAACCAAAAATTGGTTCTTCAGAAAGACTAACAAAATTAAGTCTTTAAGTGGACTAAGGAAAAAAAAGAGAAGACTCAAAATTAGAAACAAAAGTGGGGACATTACCAATTTTACAGGAATAAAAATGATTATGAGAGTACTATGAGTAACTGTACACCAAAAAATTAGATATCTAGATGAAACAGACAAATTCCGGGGCACCTGGGTGGCTCAGTTGGGTGGGCGTCTGCCTTCAGCTCAGGTCATGATCTCAGGGTCCTGGGATCATGCTCTACTTCGGGCTCCCTGCTCAGCAGGGAGTCTGCTTCTCCCCCTCCCTCATCTTCTGTCCCTCCCCCCACAACTTGTGCTCACGTGCATGCTCTCTAAATGAATAAATAAAATCTTCAAAAAATAATAATAATAATAAAAAAAACCAGACAAATTCCTAGAAAAAGAAAACCTACCAAGACTGAATCCCAAAGAAATTGAAAATCTGATATCTAGTAAGGAGACTGCATCTGTCATTGAAAATCTCACTCCTGAACAATAATGAATCAAAGAAGAAACTAAACAGGAAATAAAAATGTATCTTGAAACAAATGAAAATGGAAATACAACATACCAAAACTTACAGAATAGTTTTAAAAGGGAAGTTCATAACAAATGCCTACGTTAAGAAGAAAGATCCCAAATAAACAACCTAACTACACTTTAAGAAACCAGGGAAAAAAAACAATAACTGAGGCCAACATTAGCAGAAGGAAGGAAATAATAAAGATTAGAGAAAAAATAAATGAAATGGAGAACAGGAAAACAATAGAAAAGATTAACCAAACTAAAAGTTGATTCTGTGAAAAGACAAACACAGTTGACAAAACTTTAGCTAGACTAACCACAGAAAAAAAGACAGAGGACCCAAATCAAAATTATAAATGGAAAAGAAGACATTATAATTGACACCACAAAAATACAAAGGATCGTAACAGGCTGTTATGAACAACTATACACCAACAAACTGGACAACCTAGAGGAAATGGCAAAATTCTTAGAAACATACAGACTACCAAAATGGAATTAGGAAGAAACAAAAAGTTTGAATAGCAATTACCAGTAAGGAGATTGAATCAGTAATCAAAAATCTCCCAATGAAGGAAAGCCCAGGATGAGATGCCTTCACTGGTGAATTTTACTACACATTTCAAGAAGAATTAATGACAATCATTCTCAAACTCTTCCAAAAAATGAAGAGGAACACTCCCAAACTCATTTTAGGAGGCTAGCAGACTCTGCAACCAAAGCCAGTAAAGGACAATATCAGAAAAGAAAACTATAGACCAATATTCCTGACGAATATAGATGCAAAAACTCTCAATAAAATACTAGCAAGTCAAATTCAGCAGCACATTAAAAGAATCATTCACCATGATCAAGAGGGATTTACATCTGGGATGAAAGGATGGTTCAACATCTGTAAATCAATGTGATACACCACATTTATAGAAAGACCAAAAAAAAAGTCCTAGGAGAGAAAAGGCATCTAACAAAATTCAACATCTGCTCATGATAAAAAAATCTTAAGTATAAAAGGAGCATAACTCAACATAATAAAAGCCTTATTTATATAAGCTCATGGCTAACACCATACTCAATGGTGAAACATTGAAAGTTTTTCTGCTGCCCAACCTCACCACTTTTTTTTTTTTAGATTTTATTTATTTATTTGACAGAGAGAGACACAGTGAGAGAGGGAACACAAGCAGGGGGAGTGGGAGAGGGAGAAGCAGGCTTCCTGCTGAGCAGGGAGCCTAATGTGGGGCTTGATCCCAGGACCCTAGGATCATGACCTGAGCCGAAGGCAGATGCTTAACAACTGAGCCACCCAGGCGCCCCCCAGTCTCACCACTCCTATTCAACACAGTACTAAGAACTCCTTGCCAGAGCAATCAGACAAGAAAATGAAATAAAAGGCATCAGAAATGGAAAGGAAGTAGAATTGTCTCTATCTGCAGATGACATAATTTTATACATAGAAAATCCTGAAGACTCCACAAAAAAAACCTGTTAGATCTAATCAACAAACACAATAAAGTTGAAGGAAACAAAATTAACATACAAAAATCGGTAGCATGTCTATAAACTAACAATAAATTATGTGAAAAATAAAACAATCCCATTTACAATAGCATTGAAAACAATAAAATAGTTGGGAATCACCTTAACCCAGAAGGGGAAAGATCTCTACTCTGAAAGTTGTAAGACAATGGTTTAAGAAATTGAAGATGAAAAATAAATGGAAAGGTATCCCACATTCATGGACTGGAAGAATATTGTTAAAACATCAATATTACCAAAAGCCATCCATATATTCAATGCAATCCCTATCAAGATTCCAATGGCTTTTTTTTTTTAACGGAAGTATAAAAAGCCATCTAAAATTTATATGGAACTGCAAAGACCCCAAATAGCCAAAGCAATCCTAATAAACAAGAATAAAGAGTGAGGCATCACATTTCCAGATTTCAAGCTACACTACAGAGCTACAGTAATCCAAACAGCATGGAACTGGCATAAAAATGAATAGATCAATGGAACAGAATAGAAAGTCTAGAATAACCCAAGCATATGTGGTCAACTAATATTTGACAAGGGAGCCAAGAATACTCAATGGAAAAGACAGTCTCTTCAATAAATGGTTCTGGGAAAATGGGATATTCACATGTAAAATAATGGAACTATGCCCCTATCTTATACCTCTCCCCAAAATTAAGTCAAACTGGATTAAAGACTTAAATGTAAGACCTGAAACCATTAAATTCCTAGAAGAAAACAGGTAAAAAGTTCCATGACATGGGTCTTGGCAATGATTTTTTGGACATGACACCTAATGAACAAGCAACAAAAAGAAGTGGGACTATATCAAATTAAAAAGCTTCTGCAGAGCAAAAGAAATAACAAAGTGAAAAGAGACTAAAGAATGGGAAAAAAATATCTGCAAACCATGCATCTGATAAAAGGATAATATCCCAAATATATAAGGAACATATACAATTCAGTATCAAAAAAACCCCCCAAATAATCCAATTTTTAAAATTGTACAAAAGACCTCACTACACGGTTCCCCAAAGATAGATGAATGGCCAACAGGTATATGAAAAGATGCTAAACATCCTAATTATCGTGGAAATGCAAATCATCAAAACCACAATGAACTATACCACCTCCCACCTGTTAAAATGGCCATCATTAAAAAGATGTAACAAATGCTGGTGAGGATGTTGAGAAAAAGGAACCCTTGGTGCACCGTTGGTGGGACTGTAAACAAGTATAGACACTATGGAAAACATAATGGAGGATCCTTAAAAAATTAAAAACAGAACTACCATATGATCCAGCAATCCCACTTCCAGGTATTTAACCAAAGGAAACAAAAACACTAATTCAAAAAGGTATCTGCACTCTGATGTTCACAGCAGCATTATTTATAATAGTCAAGACACAGAAACAACTTAGGCATCCACTGATGGATGAATAGTGCATATATACAATATATACAATGGAATATCATTCAACCACAAAAAATGAGGAAATCTTGCCATTTGTGGCAACATGGATGGACTTTGAGGGTATTATGCTAAGTGAAATACATCAGAAAGAGAAAGACAAATACTCTGTGATCTCACCTATATGTGGAATAAAAAAAAAAAAAAAATCCAAATTCAGAAAAAGAGATCAGATGTGTGGTTACCAGAGGCAGAGAGTGCAGGGAGAGGGTACTGGAGGAAGGTGGTCAGAAGGTATAAACTTCCAGTTATAAGGTAAATACTAACAATGTAATGTACAACATGATGACTACAGTAACACTGTTGTATGACATGAAAGCTGTTAAGAAATCTCATCACAGGAAAAAATTTTTCTGTTTTTGCTCTTTCTGTTTTATCTCCATGAGATGATAAATGCTAACTTACTGTGATCATTTCACAATACATGTAAATCAAACAACTATACTGTACACCTTAAACGTATACAGTGACATACCTCAATTATATCTTAATAAAACTGGAAAAAAAATTTTTAAAAACCTCCCCAAAAAAGAAAAGCCTGGGTCCTAATGGCTGCACTGATGAATTCTGCCAAACATTAAAAAAAACAACGGTCTCAAATTCTTCAAAAAAACCAGAGGAGGGAACATTCCCTAATTCATTCTAGGCCAGCATTGCCCTGATACCTAAGCCAAAGACACAGACCAAGAAAACTACAGACCAATATCCTTTATGAACGCTGATGTAAAAATCCTCAATAAAATACAGCAAACTGAATTCAGCAGCATATTCAAAGGATATATACCATGACCTATCAGATTTTTTTCTAGAATTCAAGAATGATTTCACATATGAAAACCAATCAGTGTAATATAACCACATTAACAAAATGAAGGGGAAAAATACATAATTTCAATTGATGCTGAAAAAGCATTTGACAAAACTCAACACACTTTCATAAACTCAGATAAAAACTCAAAAAACAAGGAATAAAAGGAAACTATGTTAACATAATAAAAGCCATTTATAGAAAACCCACAGCTAACATCATACTTGGTGGCAAAAGATTGAAAGCTTCTCCTCTCAGATCAGAAACAAAGATGCCTGCTTTTGCTAATTCTATTCAACATAGTACTGGAAGATCTAACCAGAGCAATTAGGCAAGTAAAAGAAAGAAAAGGTATCAAATTGGAAAGAAAGAAGTAAAATTATGTTTACCAGTGATATAATCTTACATGTAGAAAAGCCTAGGGATTCCACAGAAACAAACCCTGTTAGAACTAATAAACAAATTCAGCAAAGGAGTAGAATATAAAATCAACACACAAAGTCAGTTGTATTTTCATATACTAACAATGAAAATTCAAAAAAGAAATTTAAAAACTCCACTTATAAAAGCATTAAAGAAATTTAGGATTTAACAAAGATGAAAGACTAGTATGATGAAAACTACAAAACTGCTGAAAGAAATTAAAGAAGACGTAAATAAATAGAAAGATACCCCATATTCATGGATTGGAAGACTAATATCATTGAGATGTTGTCAATAATACACAAAGTAATCTATAAATATTTAATGCCATCTCTATCAAAATTCCCATGACTTATTTTGTAGAAGCAGAAAAAAAAATCCATCTACCAAAATGCACACTTAAAAATGGTTAAGATGGTAAATTTCATGTTATATGTATTTTGTCACAATTTTTAACAATTAAAAACATTGTAATTTAGAGATCTGCTATTTAAAATGGTCTTTCCTCCACTTAATATTAGTTCCAAAGAGAAAAAAACTGTGTTTCAGGGCAATGAACGGACATATTATAGACATCTTCCTATGGTTGTAAATTTTCATGTTAAGTCCCACAGTGCACCCCATTTCAAACAACTACCACACATGAAAGTCTACCCATCTAAATCTTTCAATGAAGTCCATTCAACTAAATCACTAGATTAAAAAAAATAATGATAAAATGTAAAGAGTACACCACTGATCTTTACCATACCTTCTTTCATGTTCACTTATGCTCTTCACTCAACAAAACCAAGCAGGAAACTGGTATCAAATTAAGCACTTTTCATTTCAAAAAAGAAAAAAAATCTTTAGATTTAGCAACCATAAAAAGAAAGCCAGGAAAGAGCTAGAAAAGAAAAAGCAAACTGTGGGCATAGGTGACCGTGTCATCATAAATGCAGCTCTATCTTCTCCTGCACACATCTTCAGCACGGATCTGTCAGAGGGCTCACTATTAAGCTCAGAACTGCATATGACATACTTAAGCTATATATTTTTATAACAGCTACATTGAGGTAATTCGCATACCATAAAATACACCCCTTTAAAGTGTCTCATTCAGTAGTTTCTAGTATATTCAGAGTTGGGCAACTATCACTACCACCTAATTCCAAATCATTGTCATCACCCCAAAGTGAAAGCCCATACTCATTCCCCTCTCTCCTCCAATCTGTGGCAACCACTCATCTACTTTCTATCTCTATGGATTTGCCTATTCTAGACATTTCACAGAATGGAATCATGTGTTGGGTTTTGGGGTGTCATCCACCTTGTAGCACGCACCAGTGTTCCGTTCCTTTCTGTGGCTGAATATACACTCATCAGTTGGTGAATACTGGTGTTGTTTCTACTTTTTGGCTTTTGTGAATAATGCTGCTATGCACATTTGTGTACAAGTTTCCATGTGGACGTATGTTTTCAATTCTCTTGGTGTGAAATTGCCAGGTCACACAGTAATTCTACATTTAACTTTTTAAGAAACCACCAAACTGTTTCCCACAGCAGCTGCACCATTTTATGTCCCTACTAACACTGCAAAAGGGTGTTATTTCTCCATGTGCTCAACGCTTATTATCTTTGTTTTTGACTACAGCCAGACTAGAGGGTGTGAAGTGGTATCTCACTGTGGTCTCGATCAGCATCCACAAATGGTGTTGAGCATCTTTTCATGTGTCTATTGGCTATTTATATCTTCTTGAGAGAAATATCTATTCAAAGCCTTTGCCTATTCTTCACTGGGTCTTTTTATCGCTGAGTTATAAAAGTTCTTTATATACTCTAGATTCAAGTCCCTCGGCAGAAAAATGATTTGCAAATATTTTCTCCCATTCTGTGGACTGCTGTTCCACTTGCTTGATGGGTTCTGTGAAGTACAGAGGTTTTTAACTTTAATAGAGTCCAATTTATTCTTTTCTTTTGTTGCTTATGCTTTTGTTGCCACATTGAAGAAAATCATGTATTTTAATACTAATCTGCATGCCAATAGGAGGGGAGTAGAGAAGAAAGGGCATAAAATTAAAAATCAAAGAGAACTATCAAGGACTTGAATTCAAAATCAATTTTCTTGCAACAGAAAAACCATAAACATAAATACACATAATAAAGTACTGACTAACAAATACAATAGTGATCAATCTGCTCAAAGTCTGAACGGACTTTTCATTAATCAAGGAAAAGTAAAAACCCCTCAGGGAAATGAATAAATTAATAATTTCTAATCACTATGTTTAGGTAAAATTTAGTTGTTTTAAGGTTTCTACCTATAAAATTATAAAATATTTTTAGACAATAGTCAGAAGCATAATTTTCTTATTTAAATGGAAACACTTACCTGCTAAGTAATTCTAGACCAGCAGAGTACTTTGGCGAACATGGAACAGTCCTGCCAAAAAAAAACCAAAACCAAAAACAAAACCACTTAATTTATTAAAATTGCTTCCAATTTAGGCCAACTTAAAAAAAGCTACATATGAGAATTTTGACACTGTCGATTGTTATGTGGAATATTTTTAAATTACTAATGACAATTTACCTAAACTTTCAGAGAAATGTATTGTTTTATGTCACAATTCAAATACTGTAATATACTATCATCCATCACTCTGCCCTACAGATTAGTTTTAGCAAACACGATGAATACCTTGATAACATGCTAGATAATAAGAATTTTTTTTTTAAAAGCTCATAATCTCTAGGTTTAAAGTGAAATTTGGTTGTGTTTTACCTATTAAAAAAAAATGAAAATGAAAAGTTGCACAACACTGGTGTGTTTTTATATAAAACAGGTAACACAGCTCCGGAGGCTCACTTGCCAAGTACTGTTTCAGTTTTAATCTGCTTCTCAATAATGCAGGACTTTTACTTTGTGCTTAATATACAAAATGATTAACTGTGATCAAACAATAACCACTGGTTGTCCTAGAATAAAACGACTCCCCCTCACCATGCCCCTTTCAGCCATTTCATAATTTTTTCAGAAAATTTTCCAGTGTTACACAATTTATAAATAATCAGATTGCTTTGTCGTCAAGTGCACTCAACAGATGTAAAATCCACTAAAGTAATCATACTACTATAACTAGAGCTGAACGCTATGTGAAATTTAAGTCACAGTAAATTAAATCTTAGCACAGGCTTACCTTGGTTTGCTTTTTACTTTAGCTTCTCTTGACTTGTCACTTAAAGTCTTCAGCCTATAATTCAACAATTATAAAATATCATATTTTTACAGCTTAAGAGATTTTTTTCAACCATGAATTTCACAGTTCTTAGAATTTTACATTGGATGAGCTAATTATTTTAGCAAGAATTAAGCACCTCTACAGACAAGTATTTGAGTGTTTACTGGACGTCAGACACCTCAAATAGAACATTTGTAGCAAACATCTTTATATTTTTTCTTGCCGCAATCCCTTTTTTAGAAACAGTTCCTAAGTCTGATTGGACTACAGAAATGTCATTTACCTGGTATTATTAGAAAAAGAAGTGATCCACATAGGTGAATTTGGTAGGCAACAAAGATATCCAAGTGGCACATTTTAATAAAAGATATGATACCAGGCACTCAAAGCTCTTTAAGTACCATTTTGTGAAATTTTAGACACTGATCAAAAGCTTTCTAAAATATATTACAAACCTTTTTCATTACAGAGGACTTGGTATATTCTATTTAACATTTTCTGCTAACTCCAGGTCATTCTTATGAATACCACTGGATCACATTTTGTGGCAGAACAATCATCTCCTCAGATGTTTGAGCTAGGAATGCCTTTTCATTTGCCAACCTGAAACCAATCTATGGTGATCTGAGTTTGTTTGGAATCCTGTGTCTATTTTTTTCTAAATTTAAATTTCCCATCTCCACCACTGGTCATTTGGTTATCAGTGATAACTCACTGCTCCTGCTAGCTACCTAACTAACTGCAGCCTCTTCCTTCTCTATTATTGGCTTTTTTAAATTACTGGGCTAGAAAACAGATAAATGGGCTAGAGATGCACAGAAAAAAATAAAGTTAAATAGGCTCCTCTATATATCATATGAAGTTCAAAGACTTTGTACAATTTGTTTTTGCTTCACTGGGCCATTTTCACCTTCTTTTGGCTGTCGACTCTGTACCATATAATAGAGGTTGCCAAAAAACGAGTGCTACATTATGAGCCACTCTCGTATCAAATGAGATATTGCTGTAAATGTTCTTCTTCGTGTGGTTACTTCAACAAATCTTCGTTTCTAAGTAGAGTCTGAAACACAGGCCACGGTACCACCACTAGCCCCTAACAAGCCTTTGGTAAAACAAGAAATAGGTGCCCGTTTCTCAAGGTACTTGACCACTCTATCAGCCAGAAGCCGCCTACTGTATAAGCCGACTCTCCTATGTATGCCCCCAAGCCTGCGCCTCCATGTGCCAGCCCGGACCTAGGACTCCATCTTGTTCGTCCATAATGCCTGGCTAACCACCAGAAAGGAACTTTTTTTTTTTTAAACAAACTGGAATGCCAGTTCACACAAAAATTTTCGCATTATTCTATGTCGTTTTTCAAAAACTGAAATACTGATGAGATGAACTTCTTTGTTGTTAAAAAGACTCTGCAATCTCTTTAATAAACTCATTTGTTCCTCTCTTTCCAGATGAGTCAGGAGTTGTATGTAAAAAGTCTGAACTGTCCTAGAGAAACAATATAAATTTCAGGGCACCTGGGTGGCTTACGTGGTTAATCGTCTGTCTTCGGCTCAGGTTATGATCCCAGAGTCCTGGGATCGAGCCCCACATCAGGCTCCCTGCTTAGCAGGGAGCCTGGTTCTCCTTCTCCCCCTTGCTCATTCTCTCTCTCGCTATCTCTCTCTCTCTCAATAAATAAAATCTTAAAAAAAAAGAAAAAGAAAAAGAAACAACATAAATTTCCAAACTTCACCTTGGCAACTAGCAAATCCAGTTTAAATTAAGATTACGCAGCAACTAGGAAAAGGTATTTCGACACTCACGCTCTATCACCTCCACTCCAAAATTTGAGAAAGGCACTTAGTTGTGACATCCCAGGTAGAATTATACTAGGATGGTTATACAGAGTGGTACATTACACTCAAAATGATTTTAGTAATATTTTTAGTGACTCAGGACAATTCCATATAGTTAGGTATACAAGGATATTGCAAAGGAGCTGTTAAGATCCTTTTTGGACCATTCTTATTATATGGTCTGGCAAATCTGGAGGTTGGTATCTCAAATATTTACTTCTGAAATAAACTTTTACTTTTTCAATTGTAATATATTCAAATTTGGGGTGTTCTTCCACACACCCCCTAAAAAGAAAAAATTAGAATAAAAGAGAAAGAAGGAATATCACAGGAAGCTGAAAATAAAATTATTGGAAGGGTCAATGAGAGCTCCATGTGGCTCCTTAACAGCCAGCTGCTTTAAAATTGGTCCTTAACCAGTTGTAATGTGTGGAACTTATTTGATCTGGATTTGAACAAATCAACTGTAAAAAGACATTTCTAAGAACTAGGAAATTATGGATTATGGACTGGATAATTGATAATATCAAAGAATTAGTGTTAATTCTGTTAAGTATGATGTTGGCATTGCATTTATGTAATGTCTCTTTTTTTTTAGGGGTGCAAACTGATGTAGGAGAGATGTAACAGACAAATCTGAGACTACTTTTATAACTACGGGAGAGGCAAAAGCAAATGTGGCGATAGTTGACAATTGTTGGATCTGAATCATGGATATATGGGGTTCACTGTGTGATTCTATTTTTTATGTTTGAAACTTTGTAAACACATTTTTGTAATAAACACAGTCTTTTAGACATCCGTCTCTTCTCATCACACCTTCTCTACATAAATCATCTGACTCCTGATTTCCAAGGCATGATCTCAGGGTCCTGAGATTGAGCCCCGCCTCGGGCTCTGTGCTGGGCATGGAGCCTGCTTAAGACTCTCTCTCTCCCTCTCCCTCTGCCCCTCCCCCGGCTCATGTCCTGGCTCTAAAATAAATAAATAAATCTTAAAAAAAAAAAAAAAAGTACACATGACCCCTCCGTTCTGGAGCCTGAGAGTCACACAAAAGCTGCACAAACTTAGGAAAGGGAGAGGAATGTAGACTATCTCTATCCTAATTAACCCCAACTACACTTGTCAGTGCTGACCTGTTCCCTGAGGCTTTCTTACATTTCCAATTGCTTCTTGAGGTCAAGCATAAGTGACCTCACACAACAAATTCACTGTCAACCGCTTCTCTTTCAAAACTATTGAAATTCTTCTGTTTGTAAATGACATCATTTATCTAAGATACTCCACAGTTAACATCCTGAATTTCCCTACCTTTTTCCCTTTCTACATCTCACTGTTTACAAATTCACCCCGTGCCTGTCACATCCATTCCCTTGTGAAATTGCTACCAGCACCACCCTATCATCGCTCCCCTGGCCCATAATTATAGCCTAAATACTCTCCTAAATACTCTCCCTGTTCCACATGTCCAGCCCTCCCATCACACGGCCTCTCAAATTTCTTCCAGAAACACAAGCAGGCTCATGCTACTCCCTCCACAAAAACCTTCAAAGACTCAGTCAACCTAAAAATAAGCCAGGACCACTCTGTATAAAGTAGCAATCACCTTATCCCCCAACCCCCTTAACCTGCTTTACTGTTTGCAACAGTTCTTATGACCTTCTAGATATTCTGCCTCCCGCCAAGACAGACCTCACCTGGAGAGGAGTTCTTTCTCTACCAGGTAACAAGCTAAATGGCACACAGTGACCAGTGTGTTTCTATCCCTACCCACAAGAACCCAGAGCATTATAAACAGGAAACACCAGTCAGTGACAGGCAGCTATAAACCTTCAGTAAATCTGATTATCAGTTCCCTGAGGGTTCTGCATTCCTGATTACTTCATTCCTGAGGCTTTGGGTCCTAATTGCTCAAAAGGCAAAAACCAAAGACCAGAGTGGATTTGAAGTATGTGCTTCAGTATATCCCAAAGTTTCCCTTGGAGCTCAAGTCAATCCCTAAAAAGTACATGTTCTATGTGAGTTCCCCAAAAGGCTCTAAGAGTTTTGAGTAAGTCAAATGAAATTAGGACTCACCTAGGGTGAGGGCAGAAGGGTGAGGCCCAGAACCTCACTCCTGTAGTCACTTGGGCCAGCCAGCCACCCACTTAAGTAAGAAAGAACATGATATAATCTCCAGGTTTATCTCAATTTTGACTTAACTGTCATTATGAATAAAAATTTACAAAGGGGTGCCTAGGTGGCTCAGTTGGTTAAGTGTCTGCCTTTGGCTCAGGTCATGATCCCAGAGTCCTGGGATCCAGCCCCACATCAGGCGCCCTGCTCAGTGGGGAGTCTGCTTCTCCCTCTGCCCCTGTTTGTGCACTCTCTCTCTCTCAAATAAAATCTTTAAAAAAAAATTTATAAAAAAGACCCTAAGTCCATGGACAATTTAGAGTCTGCACCCACCCCGCAGGCTACCAGCATCTCTGGCCACTGTCCTTAACTGATCTTAAGTTGCATTTTTTTAAGTCTGAATGGAATGTGGAAATTCATTGTGTTCATCAGACTTGCTTTTATCACTACTGTGACATTCTCTTGGGAGACTGATAAAGCTAATCCTCTCCTACTTAAAAAAAAAAAAAACAAAAACCGAAGGACCACAGAAATCCACTAGGCCTTCCTTCTACTCATTCCCTCGTGCAACCCAACACTGGAAGCTTTAGAACAGTTGACACCAACTGTTCTAAAGGTATGTCAGGTACAGTGGGATAGCTCTAGGAGGTGAGGGCTATCTATGTAACTTTCACCTCTGAATCCCTCCCAGCCTTCACACAATATACACGACCGCTGTGTTTAATTTCATCTTTCCTCAGCAAGGCAAAATATTCAATTATGTAAAATAGGTTGATCTCAAGCTGAATACAGAGTGTTTACTAAAATGAATGAAGAGGATTCTTTCTTGGTAAGGGTCGCACAGGAATTAGTGAACCGGACAAAAGTGAACATCAGAGTTTAGAGCCGCCAGTCAGCTGCAAGACAGACAGACCTCACCTGGAGAGGAGTTCTTTCTCTGCCAGGTAACAGGCTAAATGGCACACAGTGACCAGTGTTTGTCAGTTGAGAGTGACCAGTACAGGAGGGAGCCAATCAAGTGTCTTAACTGGACTAAAAGCCCTCTCAAATGTAATCTCAAAGTGGCTCCAGTCTATGATATCGTCAAGAAGTCAAGTCAGTTTCCAAGGAGTTCTAACCAGATTCCCCCCCCCGCCCCCAGTCTCTTCCTAACTAAACCCTAAATTCAGGTTGTCCAGATCTCCCAGGATGGTTTGGGTCCAGAGTCCACATTCCTAGGTAAGTTTAACCCTCTTAAGCAAAGATCATGAGTGTGAATGGGTTCTGAGGCAACTACACAACCTAGAGAGTTTCAGTAACTACCAGATCCTGGACTGTTAGGCCATCAAGTCAAAGAACTGGTTGAAAGTAATGATAACAGGGTGGGTTTATCCATGACCACTCTCATGCTCCAAGCAGACTATTACAGTATCCCACGAAAATTCTTCAATAATTTACACCCTGAAGTTACTTTTTCAATTTAAATGGGGAAAAAAATTGCAAGCATGCAAAAAAAACAAAAACAAAAACCCATAAATGAGTAACTCCCACAGCATCTATCATATCCTTAAGAACTCCAAACCAAAACTATCAAAAATGATTTACATGGGGTAAATGCTCAAGTATTTGCCCCAAATCCTCAGCACCCAAAAGGCAAACCATGTAAACATTTTTGTTCCATAAGATAAAATCTTAGCCCCATCTTTCTCATTGAAAAGGTAAAATCCTATGATCGAGATGTCCTCATTCAGAAAATTCTCCAAAGGATTTGTACGATAAGGTAACAGACTCTTTATGAAGGTGACACCTTTTCTAAAGAAATGAAAAAATTAAAATGAATTAAGCACTAACTAGTAACAATAGATGACACGGTGCTTACCATTCTACACGCTGTGTTTTACATGTTCATTCATTAATCATCACAACCCTGTTAGTACCACCTTTATCACCTCTGTACAGTTGTGGAAACCGAGGCAAGACAATTCAAGTAACTTGCAAAAGCACATTTGCTTAGTGGCAGAGATGAGAACCTGGGAGTCTGGCGCTGGAACCTGTGCCTGTGGTTCCCAAACTTCCCAGCACGCTGGAATCAGCCGGGGGAATCCTGAAAACTCCGGCCCCAGTCTGATTACACTGGCATGGGCGGCAACCTGGGATCGGGAGTGTCCAAGATGCCCAGGGGACTCTGAGCCAAGTTTGGGAACCGCTTGGTCTGCGCTTGTAACCACCAGCTCGCTGTGAGCAGGGTCGATGGAGTTCTGTTGCTCTTCTGGCCCCACGAATTTCTTCACCAAGGCGCCGAACCGGCGCAGGGACAGAGGGAGCAAACAAAAGGGAGGGAAAGGGCGGCCGGCAGCGCCGAGGGCTCCGCGAGCGGGCCGCGCGAGGAAGCGGCGACGGGACGCGGACCGGCAGTGCGCGCTGCGGCGCCCGCGACCTTCGGCCCGGGCAGGAGGCGGCGGGCCCGGCTCCCCGCGGCGCCGCAGGAGCCCGAGGCCCGAGCCGGCAGGTGCCTCGGGGGCGCAGGCCCCCGTCCCGCGGCGGCGGAAGCGGGGGCGCGCTCGCCCGAACGCCGGGACGGGGGCCCAGGAGTCCCCCGCGCGCTCGGCGGCGCCGGCTGGGACCTAAGTTACTTAGTGCCGCCGGGCCGACGCCGGAAAGTTCGTTCCTCTGCTCGGCGGGGCGGGGATGGGAAGCGCGGGACGGGGCCGGGGCGGGCCGGGGTGCGGGGAGAGGAAGGAGGGAAGGAGGCGGCGTCCCGGGGGCCCCGGCCCAGCCCGCGGGTCCTTTCCGTCCCCCACCGTATACCCACCCGGAGGTGAAATCCTGCTGCACGCTCAGCAGCCGCTCGCGCAGGGTCTCCAGCATCGCCGCCGTCGCCGCGTCTCCGCCCCTCAGGCTTCAGGCCGCCGCCGCTGCCGTCGCCTCGGGTCCCGCGAGGCCCCCGCCACACCTGTCACCCGCGCGCCCCGCACACTCGCGGCCGGCCCCGCCCCCGGCTCGGTCGGCGCCCTGCGCTGCAGCCCCTTCCGCGTTCCCGCCCCCGGCTCGCGCGCTCCCGCCCCCAGCGCCCGCGCTCCCGCCCCGCCCCCGCCGCGCCCAGGCCCGCGCAGGCGCGGTGCGCCGCGCCGGCCTCGGGCTGCGGAGAAGGGGCGGTTCTTCTCGCCCAGCTGAGCAAGCCGCAGAGCCCCAGATGCACTTTTCTAGCCCAAGCCAGGCCCTCTCGTTTTTCTCTGAAAAAGAAGTGGCATCGTGAAAGAATGTTTTCAGTCGAGGGCTTCTCTGAGTGCAGCGTTGGTTTTTACGGTTTGGAAGAGAATTGGATAAATTTCTTGCACAGCGTGCACATCCCTGTAGCAAACTTTGACTCACCGGGACCAGGATCTGACCCCACCGGCTTTGCCCTTGGATGAGATAGTTAACCATTCTAAGCCTCGGTTTCTTCACTCGTAAAATGTGAACGATAATCAACTGTTTCGACATCATCACTTTCCACTTCGACCTCCATGATGCTTTTGTGCCCTTCACACCAAAGGAGGTTGCCTTTCTCAAGTCACCAGTGACTTCCATGTTGCCAATGCCATTTGTTACTTATCTGCCCTGATTTTTTTCTCTGCCTCTCAGTGGCTCTCAAAGCAGTACCTTATACCATTTTTTAAAAAAGATTTTATTTATTTATTTGAGAGGGAGAGAGTAAGAGAGAGCATGCAAGCGAGAGCACAAGAGCAGGGGGAGGGAGAAGCAGATTCTCTGCTGAGCAGGGAGCCCCACCCCAGGCTCAATCCCAGGACCCTGAGATCATAACCTGAGCGGAAGGCAGAGGCTTAAGTGACTGAGCCACCCAGGTGCCCCCCCTCCCATGCCATTTTTAAGACACATTCTTCTCTTGCCTTCAGGGACATCATACTTATATTCTCCCTTCCTCTCCACTCCTATTTCAACAGCTGCTCCCAAGGCCCCATCACCAACCTCCCACTCTTTATGTGTGCTCTACCATGCTGGAAATTCTATCAAGGCACTGATGGATGCCCAATTCTCTATTTTCAGCCCTGTCCTCCCTCCTGCTCCTTCAATTTAGACCAGTTGCTCACTTAACATGTATCCAGTAGGCATTTCCAAGCCAACATACCCCAAATTGAAGACTTGATTGCATATTCATCTCCTGACTTGCTCATCCTCCAGTCTTTTCCATTTCAGTAAATGGCCCCACCATCCGCCAAGTTGCTCAAGTTAAGCCACCTGAAATCACCGGTTTTCTCTCTTCCTCATCCCCCATATTAACTCATCAGATCCAATCCACTCTATTTCTAAAGTATTCCTGGAACCTGCTCCCCTTTCTCCATCCTCATTATAATCACCCTAGACCAGGACACTGTCATCTTACACTGGGAACACTGACAGGTCCCCTGATACTACTTTTTTGCCATCTACACCCCTGTAATCCATCCTTGACATGGCAGCCAAAGAGAATTATCTAAAAGAGCAATCAGATCATGTTGCTCTCCTTCTTTAAAGCCTTCAGTTGCTTCCTGTGCCCACAGAATAAAATTCAAACTCCTTACTTGGCTTACAGTCCTAAAATTTGACCCCTTCCTGATACTCTATCCAAAGCAAGTATGAGTTTGAACTGTGTGGGTCCACTTATATGCAGATTTTTTTTCAATAAGTACATTGGAAAAATTTTTGGAGATGTGTGACAATTAGAAAAAACCTGAAGAGGAACCACATAGCCTAGAAATACCAAAGAAAGAAAAATTACATATTATTCCAAGAATATAGTATATAATACATATACAAAATTGTGTTAATCTACTATTTATATTATATCGCTAAGGCTTCTGGCAAACAGTAGACTATTAGTTAAGTTTTGGGGAAGTCAAAAGTTACATGTGGATTTTCAACTGCTAGGCGATCAGTTCAAAGATCCACTGTACTACTCACCTACTATGACCTTGACATTTAAGCCATAGTAACCTTGTGTGTGTGTTCCTTGAAAATTCCAGGTTCATTTCCATCTTGAGGCCTTTTCATAACTTTTCTCCAAAATGTCCCAGTGCTGGCTTCTTCATGGCATTCAGATCTCAACTTAAATATCCCCTTAGGTAGTTCTTCTGAGATCACTCAAGTTATCCACACAATCACTTCCTGTACACAACCTGTTTCTCAACTTAGTACACATAACTATCTGATAATTTATTTAATAATTATTTCATTAAGAAAAAGTTGTTTATTTTTTTTTTAACACCATTTATTTTAAATTCAGGGTTGGGACTAGGGTGAGGCAGGTAAGGCATTCACTTCAGGTGCAAAATTTAAGGGGAGCCAAAAAGCTCAGTATTCAAAATGAATAATATTTTAATGCAATATTTAAAAAATTCAGAATTCATGCAAAAAATGTGATGAACAAAATATCAAACGTAAACAGTAAATACTGATTGTTTTGTTGTAGGAATCAAATAAGATAAAGCAGGTGGCTTATGGTTGAGCAGGGGAAACCCCTCTTCCCCCCTCTGGATGATTTCTTCCATGTGGAGGAAGCTCCTTCACAGTATAACACTGCAGGCCTTTCTGGAGGAGGAGAGGTGACTATGTTGGTTAGTAAGCTAGGGACAAAGGAGCCTGGCCCCATCCTCTTTTCTTTATGTGACTGCAAACTTCCAGCAGAGAACACTCATTCTATTCCACAAGGACTGGCTGCCTGGTGAGGAGGCTGGGGCGACCCAGTGCTTTCTGTGACTGGATAGGCAAGTCTTAAGCTGAGGTTCAATAAGAGGAATTCTGCTTGCCCATAAATATTGTATAAGCCATGTGCTTCATCAGCCTTACCAGAAATGAAAGCGATGTTTTGGCCACTTTATGCTGACGCTCTTATCTTATTTCTCAGTTGGTTCAGACAAGTAAGGGAGAGGGGTGCTGTCACTGAGCCCTCCCCCAACCTCCCAGAAATAGTACCTGGTACAGAGTAAGTGATCAAATGAGCAAGTCTATAGAGAAAGATGCGTCACTATTTAGTAGATTTGGAAACCACAGGTATTGAGAAATAATAAATCTTTTAAAATTTTATTCAATTAAATAAATACCTCTGCTCATAAATTTTCAATTTAAAGTACCAAATCAGAACGAAAGACTCTGCCCATCACTAGGAAATAGCTTTACTTGGTGTGCCCAATCATGTTTGTTTTGCCGATTGCATTATTGGTCTGTGGCATGTGTGTGTCTCATTTTGAGGTGTTTTATGAACATTTTTAATCCCATCATGTCTGGTAAATCCAAAATCAGTGGAAGTTTTAAAAGGGCCAATAAGAAAAGACAGTTATAAAGAAACAAAAGTCAGTTTTAGGAAATGAATGTAGAGAGAAAATGACTATTGTCACACAAGTTGTTTTGTAAGAATGATTAAGGACCAAGATTTGCAGCTTGTGACACATTGTGTTGATCTAAGCAAGGGTAATTAGCCAGAAACTAGGAAGGTTGACCGGCAAAATGAAATCAACAACAACAAAGTTTTCAAGTATAGAGAACCAACATCAATATTAAAGGCTATTGGCCTAAATTTAATCCATCAGTTGGTTGAGAGTTGATTTTATATTAGCAAAGCACAGAGAAAGCTTTGGTGATAAAACATTTGGGACAAGCACAAAAGCTGCTTAAGAAGGCCCCTAGACTATTGCTTCCCTGGATCAGCAAAATCAGCATCAGGTGGAAGCTCGTAGAAAATGCAGAATCTCAGGCTCCACCCAGACCTACTGAATCAGAATCCGAATTTTAACAAGATCCCCAGGGGATTCATATCAATTTAACATGTGAGAAGCACTGCTCAAGGACACTGGCCAAGGAAAGGGGTTCCTTGTCTCAATGGATTCTTCGAGTAGACAGTGAGAAGTGAGAATCTGGTGGAATTGGAACCAAAGAGAAAGATGCTATAAAAGAAGAAGCTACAGAACTCAGAATATTTCACACTGCTTTATTGGCAGAGGTCCTCGGGAGTAACTGAAAGGCACTGTTGACATGTGAGTTACAGGAATCTTAGACTTGTAAAGGTATCTACAGTGCACCGATATTAACTTATTTATAAGTTTTTACAAACTTATAAATAAGATGTAAATATTTTTGATATCTTTAATTTTAAGCATGTAAAGATGCCAGAAGAAACCATTTAAAAGCCTTAACCTTTTCTTGTGAACTAAGGAGTAGTTCCAAGAACAAGGTAAGCTATGGATGCTGGAAAGGTAACATCAGCATGGCATTTGGAAAAGGGAAGCA